AATATCTTAAGATGCAAAAGAAAGAGACCTTGTTATATATGAAGTCTAAAAATTTCTAATTTCCAACAGTAGTAGAGGGAATTCTTTTTTGTCATTATTATTTTAAAAACTGGACTGCACTGTTTAGGCAAACTAATTAGAAAATGCACACACTAAATGCCAGTAAAAATATAGGCAGACAGTAAATATGAAAAGAAAAAAAGGAAGTTGAATAAACACATAAAACCAAAATGAATATTTATATCTATATGTCAAAAATAATAATAATAATAAAAAATAATAATAAAAATTTAAAAAGAAAGAAAGAAATAACAAATGAATATAAGCAAAGCACCTGCTCATCTTCATCTTCTGGAAGCCCTCTTAATATATCCTCTATGATATTCTCGTCCTCATGGAGTTCCTGCTGGATGTCTGCCGCTTTTTTCTTCAGTTTGAGTTGATACTGCCTGGCCCAAAACAACCTGGCAATAAAATTTTTCTTGCAGATTATGATTTATCATCTCATGGATCATTATTCATGACCGTATCGATTACCATATGTCACTTAACTGATTACCAGGTAAAGAAGAAGAAAAATATATATATAATGTTAATGATAAAAGTGGTTATGAAAAAAATTAATAAATAAATTTCATAATGAAATGAAATTGATACTCAATTTTTTTAAATCTAGAAATACGAACATCAATATCAAGTGAAATAAAATAAAGCCAAAACATTACAAGTTACAACGATAATCAAAGGTCCTCATAAAACAAGAGCACTCACTCTAATTCTTTCCGTTGCCTTAAGTCTTTCAGTCTTAGCCTCCGTTGGGTAATTTCATGGAGCCTCAGCTTCTCTCTCTCTAACGCAACTTCCTCTTGTCTTAGGAATTCATCTCGTTTTTCTCTCTCCCTAGCAAGAGAAAAATGATGATAATGATGATAATACCAATAATGGTGATGATAGTAATAATAATAATGATGATGACAGTACTAACAGCTATGATTATAATGAAGGTAATCATAGTAATAATGATACTGATGCTGCTGATAGCAATAATAAAGTAGAAATTATACAACTACTACTATACTACTGCTTATGATTATGATCATAATAATAATAATAATAATAATAATAATAATAATAATAATAATAATAATAATAATAATAATAATAATAATAATAATAATATAAAAAAAAAATAAAAATAAATAAATAAATAATAATAATAATAACAATAATAATAATAATAATAATAATAATAATAATAATATTCATAATAACAACAGCAATAATAATAATATTAATAAAATTAATAGGAATAACAATATCAATAACTATAACAACAACAAGAGTAATAATAATAAAAATTATCATTATTATCATTATCATTATTACTATGATCATGATTATCCTCACTATCATCACCAAAAATAAAATAATAATAATAGAGATATTAACAATGATAACAGGAATAGCAACAGCAATAATAATAATAATAATAATAATAATAATAATAATAATAACTCATAATAAAATCAATAATAGTAATGATTATTAATCTTATTATTATCATTATCATCATTATCAGGATATTCAAAAGTTTTCAATGTAGCAGGCCTCCTACGTCCAAGTATGGGCCTATCCTGTGCCAGGCAATGCCCAGCACAGGGTACCCCCTACGTTTTTTGGGGGAAAATTTTGAAAAATGCAACCCATCAGATGCATTTTCTGTGTATCTGAAGACTGTGTTTTTGAATGATGCGTAAAATTAATAGATTTTTTCTTTACTGTCCAGCTAAAAGTAGCCAGTTATCGAAAGGCCGACAGACGGCAAATTTTAGCCAGGTTCCAGTTACTTTTGACCAACCTGCATCAATATTACTTCAATTATAATAATAACAATAAACATAATAAAAAATTAATAAATATATAATAAAAATAATAATAATAATAATAATAATAATAATAATGACAATATAATAACATATTATATATAAATTTAAACTAAAACCATGTTGATCATGATGATGATGATATCAATTATTACAGAGGTAACAGTTTATTTTCATCTTTTGTCATTATCATCAATGTTATTATTACTATCATCATAATCAACCATTACTGTCATTTCTATCATCATTACTATTACTATTATTATTATCAATATCATTCACATTATTGTTACCATCATTATCATTTGTACTATTAAAATTACCAGTATTATCATTATTATTATTATCATTACTATTATTATCATCATTATCACTATCATTACAATTACAACCACCATTAATCACATGCTACCAGGGATGGCATATGCATACATGCCATGCCCACTGTGTTTAATTTAATAATTGTTTTTACATATAGATGGCTCCACAAGTATTAAGTCACCAATGAGCCGATTATGAGAACTACTGGTGTCACCTATTTACCTTTTTCTTTGATTTTCAATCATATTTTCTAGTATTTAATACTGCTGTTAGTTATGTCAATAACAATATAGTAA